CACCTCAGGTACCTCTCCAGGTCCTGATTTGTTCTTTCCGTCTGCCCATCGGTTTGTGGGTGAAAAGATGTCGAGAGTTTTAGCCTAGTTTCCAATAATTTAGCAAATTCCTTCCATAACTTTGAAGTAAACAATTTATCCCGGTCGGAAATAATTTCATCTGGCGGGCCATGTAATCGAATAATGTTGTCACGAAATAAATTAACTAACTGGTTCGCTCGTAGGGTTGAATTGCAAGGAACGAAGTGTTTTAGTTTAGTCAATCGATCAACAATTACCCATATACAGTCGAATCCATTTGATTCCGGAAGGCCAGTAATAAAGTCCATTGTTATCGAGGACCAGCTTCTCGTGGGAATCGGCAATGGTGTCAGCAGTCCATAAGGTGCGTGTCTTCTCGTCTTCGACCTCTGACAAGTATCGCAGAATCGCACATACGCCCTCACGAATTTGGAGAGTCCTTTCCAGCAAAATCGGGCTCGTACAGCCGCTTCCGTGCTTCTTCGGCCAAAGTGGCCTGCCAGGGGGGAATCATGGAACTGCTTTAAGAGCACTTTTTACTTCCTCCTGTTGGGTACAAGCAATCGATTCCCCTTCCACAACGCTCCGTCCCGCAATGTAATTCCTTCTTCTTCTCGTAGTTCCTCATTGTTTAATAAATTTGAAGTATATTCATCGTCAGAGTAAGCGCCTTTAACTTGATTTAGGATGTCCACAGCTTGTGTCCGCATCGAAAATAGCTGTCCATCCTTTACGAACTCGGTTCCTTCTGGAATAAGCGGCTGTTCGCGTTCCTTTTTGGGTGCGCATTTTCCTTCTGGATCGTAATCAGGGCGACGAGAGAGCGCGTCTGCGCGAGAATTGAGATGTCCTGGGCGCCATTGGATCTTAAAATCCAGTGCCATGAGCTCCTGAGACCATCGGGCCTGTCGTGGTGACAGTTTCCGCTTCGCTGTAAAATATTCCAAGTTTTTATGGTCCGTAATAATAACGAACGGCCTGTCTCCGCCCTCCAAATATATCTTCCATTCTCTAATACAATAAATTACTGCAGCAAGTTCTTTTTCGTAGACATTGTAGTGGAGTTCCGTGTCTGTGAACTTGTGCGAGAGAAAGCCACTGGCCGAACTGAACCATCATCCTGTCTCTGACTCAGGACGCCCGCAGCAGCAAAGTCCGAAGCGTCCGTTTCCAGAATTGTTTGCTTGTTCCTGTCGAAATGCACGAGTACCGGTGCTGAAGTCAACTGCCTTTTCAGCTTCTCAAAGGCCGATTGCTGTTCGCGACCCCATGTCCAGCGAACCTTTTTCTTAGACAGGCTTGTTAGCGGCTTTGCAATTCCTGAAAAGTTATTAATGAATCTTCTATAGAAATTCGCAAATCCTATAAATGATAGCAATTGCTTCAAATGCTTGGGTCTTTCCCATTCTACAACGCTTTTAATCTTTTCGGGATCGGTGTGGATCCCTTCTGGCGTAATTTCGTATCCTAGGAATGTTGTCTTGCGAGTGTGGAACTCGCACTTTTCCAATTTGCAGTAAAGTTTTGCATCCAAAAGCTTCTTTAACACAGTTTGAACATGCTTAACATGTTCCTCTTCCGTAGTCGAATAAATGAGGATGTCGTCAAGGTACGCGACGGCGTACACATCGAGACATTCTCGGAGAACTTCGTTCACATACCGCTGGAACGTGGCGGGAGCGTTGCATAAACCAAAGGGCATTACCTTGAATTGGAAAAGCCCGTAGCGTGTCCGAAAGGCGGTCTTCCACTCCTCGCCTTCTTTAATCCTAATGAGATTGTCAGTATAAATACCTTAGTCTTAGTCTCAAATAATCATCACTTGTTTGAATATCATCAATTAAAGGTAAGGGGTATCTGTCTTTAATTGTAATATCTCTAGCGGCGCGCACGCGATTAAATACGATCGCCAACTTCAAACAGCGATAAACATCACTGGTGCCCCGGCAGGTGAACAAGACGGTTCATAAACCCCTTGGCAAGCATCTCGTCCAGCCAGGTCTTCAGGGCATCGTCGTGGTTCGCGTTCATCCTGCGCAAGGGCAATGTTGGCGGACAAGTTCCTTCCAGAAGTGGCATCTCGTGGTCGTAGACGCGGTGCTGCGGTAATTTATCCGCTTCTTGTTTGCTAAACACGCGCTTCAAGTACTCGTAGGCTGGCAGTATCTTGTTGTTGAGTTCCTCCGACTCGGCCCTCGTCCTTATACTGCCCACCCTACCGCCCTTCGACAAGGCATTAACAGTTCCAAGCCCGAGCGACATTTTTCCGTTTGATTCCTTAGAGTTTAGCCATTTAATGTCATTGTTATTCCAATCTACTTCCGCCAGTTTTAAGCGTAGCCATGGAATTCCCAGAATAACATCATGATCACCCAGCTTGGTGACGTTTAGGCTCGCCTGTATGCGTTTGCCTTTGTATTCCATCCAAAGCGGCCTTGTGCAATGTGTAATTGGGCCGCCTGTCGAGGAAGATCCGTCGGCCACCGCAATTTCCATCGGTGTTAACCGCTGCAGCAATGGAATTCCAGCGTTCCTAGCGAAGCTTTCATCGACAAAAACGAAGTCGCCCCGCTGTCCAGCATTACTCTCGCGGCAGTCCGGCCTCCTTCCCAATAAAGCATGAACGGAAGTTCAAGCTGTTGTTCCAATTCCGAAGCAAAATCCGGGCCAAATACTAAAGTTTGATGGTCAATAGCATTTATTTTAACTATGGAATTATAGTTAAGCCCTTTCGGGCCTAGGGTGGTGCTTCCCTCCAACCCTAGGCCTGGTCTTTTCCCTCACTCGTAGTTGCGGAAGTCGAAATTGTTGGCGCGTCGTCCAGTAGTGGGCACTCGGTGTACCAGTGTCCTTGGGCTCGACATGTAGAGCAGATCCTAATAGATTCCTGAGGAGAGGTTCCATCCAAGAGGTTAATTCTTCCAGTCGGCTTGGCGGTGCGCGAGTTGAAGGGGCATTCGCGGGCGTAGTGTCCCCGTTGGCCGCAAGCAAAGCAGATTCCTCGTAGATTCCAGCGTGGTAACCTCGGTCTGGGTCTGGGCTCGCCTCTCAAGGCATCAATTTCCATAGGGTCCCCTTGTGCGGGCAGAGGCGGCGCGCGAGTGTTGTCCTGGGGCATCGGGCGAGGCATGGGGGCGGCGGTCGCGGGAGGTAGCGACTTCGTGCTGTTGAAGCGACGGTCTACCTCGATAGCCTGTAATATCACACCTTGAAGATCCTTTTCCTTCCCATTAAAACAATTTGATTGAAGAATTCTGCCTTAAGTCCATTCAAGAAGCGGGAGGAGAGGGCCTCGTCGTTCCACCCCACTTTCGTAGCCAGATTCCTGAACTTCACAATGTAATCCTTGACTTCTCCGGTTTGTTTAAGCGCACTGAGTTCATCTGCGGCCTTGACTTCCACATCCACGTTGACGAAGGCGAGTCGCAGTTGTTCTGCGAAGCCAGTGAATGTGCTCATGCACGCAGGAAGGGAGCTTGTAAGCATTAAGGTTCATTTACGCGAAAGCCTAAATCTGGGCGATCACCACCAAGCCCAAGGCCGCCCAAACGAACTGCAACGAGCTGCAGTAAGGCCTTCAGAACTCCCGGGACACGCGCGCGTTAATTAATTAACGCGCGCCGCGACGTGACGCGTTTGTTTACATTTACGCGTCGCGTCAAAATGTCTTAAATAGCTGGATTTTATAGAAAATAAACTAATCTTATTCTGACCTACGGACTGAGTCTTACACTTGGTTGCGAGGCTTCTGAAAACCCATCAGAAGCAAGGAAAAGTTTCGGTTAAGTTTTTGTTAAAGTTGTTTGATTGCCAACACGGGCGGATACGTGTGAGGTGCTACGACAGGATTCACCTCGAGGAAGAGAAGAAGTTTGGAAAGGATTTTTGGATTACTAGCTGCCTATGGAACAGGAGTTTACTTTCTCGCTCGCGGAAGAGCGATTGCATGTCCCTCGTCCGGACAAATACGACGGACGAATGGATCTCCCAACGGTGGAAGCTTGGCTGCGCTCGATGGAGCGCTATCTCGTTG